TTTGTGGTTAACAGCCCATATATCATACTGCACGGTTTCCATGTAACCAAAATATGATTCACCAGCAATCCATACTCTGGGTAGTCTTTACATGTGAACCAGGCTTCTCTCTAATGGGTGGAATATATAGGGAATGTGTTCTTTTTCCCAGTGTGACACATTCTGTTGTATTGAATAGTGTGCAGTCTAATGACTGAAACTTCAGGGAAAATATTGAGGCAAAGTATTAAGTAGGCTGTTAAAATTGTTATATTCAACAGGAAAGTGATCAGCAACTCCATACAAAAAAATTGAGCCAGTTTTTTTTTTATTTTTATCTATTATTCTCAAGACTGGTGCATTTTTCATTTTTAGTGTATTAAATGCTTCTGTTTGGGTATCTAAACTTTTGTAGTACACAGCATACCATTTCCTTATTATTGGTGCTTAATTCAAAGCTGTTACAGCAAAATTCACTCAGGAAATAGGGAGATAATATTTGTGCATGCAAGCTTATGGTGTGTTTTTAGGAAGACGTGTATGAATATGTCTGTAATTGACTTCCTGGATTTGGGATCACACATCTGTGGGGCTTATATTTTTAGGCATGTTTCTTTTCAGGGTGGAAATATGTAGGTTTACCACCTCACTCCAGACTTGGTTTTGTTCTAATTGTTGTGTTATGGAACTGTAGGCATTTACTTAACAAAGAATATATGTCTCTTTGTACTCAAAGCATCCCAATTCTACTACTATAGTAAGTTGAAGTAAATCACTATCTGTCCATAGAGAATGCCAATATTTTACACAATCAGAGAAAAAGCCCATTCCCTTGTGAGAGGAAAAATCCTCAACTACATGGCTTAGAATGACCATGTGAAATACAGATAAAAGAATCAAACCCACAGAGGTCCTTGTGAAAAGTTGCTTCAAGTGATTGTACTTCAGTTGTTGAATTGCAAATATGTAACACGAGTGATTAAAGAATAGAGTTCTCTCACCTGCAGTTGTGTATTTTAAAGAAAGCTAGTGAGTGAAGTGGTGTGAAAATGTAAAAATGGAATTGTTTTTGATGCAAAGTATGATGGAGTCTGGCAAAGTTTAGGATCAGTTCAGGAAGATTTTTCTGTGGTTAATGGTTAAAGGAGCATCCATCAAAACACTTTATCTGCATTCATTATTCACCTTCGTGTTCTGCCAAACTATGTAATGGTAATACCACTTCACTTTTCATGTAACTGTAGTGTATTGTCTGTCTTAAACTGCCTCTCAGCCAAGATTAGCTCTGAAAGCAGCTTAAAATTAAGATCAATCACAACGTACAGTATCCTGAACCATAGGTGTGTAAAACTTTTTTCTTGTCTCTGGCAGAAGGGTCGGCTTACAATATAAGATACAGATAATGTTTCTTGCATAGCTGTAGTTATTGGATAAGAACATGGTTGTGATAGGTTAATTATTACGCCTGACATGTCCAGGACAGGTTCAAGGCTAATTGGGCTATTTATTATTCCTTTACAGCAGTTTTACTACTCGCCACTAAGTTTTCTGGCCAGTGTTCAGGAAAAAAGTTAAATCTGTCTAACGAAAATAAAATCATCATACAAGGTGGAACATGAAACTCAAAAGCAAGTTAGATCAGCATCAGAATAAAATCCACAACAGTTAAAGAAGTAGTGCCAACAGCCAAAAAAATACTAAACCATGTTTCTCAAATAGCAAGTGAGAAATTAGGGTTTCACTATAGGGGCCTCTGAGGAAAAGTAATTCTATAATGCCAGCAGATTAAGTGGCATCATATCATCAACAACAAAAAAGTAAAAACAACCGAGTAGAAAGCATATTGTGCAACTACACTTTTTTTTTTTTGCTTAAATGCCACCAAAATAAAACAGTTTGCT